AAAGCAAAATCATCTCAGCCCAGCATCCAGACACGCCATGGGAGACAAGGAGAGACAAGGGGAGACAAAGGGCGGGAATCATCTTGGCCCAGCATCGTTTCTATGCAAGAATTGAGAACGCCTCACAACAAAGCTGTTTGGGGAGTCAAATGTTGTATGTTTGTACACCGTTTTAGCGGGGGGGGTCGCCCCCTATTTTCTACCATATCCGCGGTAAAAACAAATCGATTCTTGTCTTTTTCTACCAATTTTACCGGGGGGGTCGCCCCGTCTATTCTACCATATCCGCGGTAAAAGCGGAAAAAATCGAGATGTGCTTTTTGTTTCTTTTTTTAACCGTTTGTACGCGGGGGGGGCGCCCCTTGTTTTTTACCGTTTGTTTTCTATGTGTTACCGTTTTTCCTGCGTGGGCACGAAAGGGTACCCCTTAGCAAAACAACGCACGCGAACCGGCCTAGCGCTGAACTCTTCGGCCGGTGCTGTTGGAATTGGATGGATTGACCGATTCAAGTCTGTCGTGGATTGGCTGTGTCCGGTCACGGAGCGCCAAGTCGCAAAATCTGAACAAGTGGGACAGACGTCAAAAGGAATGTATGGCACAGGTAAGTAACGAATTCTGCAATAAGAGCCGCCCAGTACATGTGTGCGCGCTTGTTGGACAATCTGGAGTCGGAGCCTGTCGAGAATGGACTCTTCAAGAACTGCTTCCAACAAGCTGCGGATTGGCTTGGCAAATGTGTGCACAGCAAATTGCCCAGCCCATTCCACCAATGTAACCAAAGTCATGCCTTAGCATCAGCGCATGATCTCACGTGAGATCAGCGCGATGCATCCGTGCGAAACAGGCGATTGATTCGTGTCGTGTCGCAGCCAAGGCTCGATGGGCCATATAGACCACGTTGCTTTGCCCAAAGGCGGATGCACCTTGGACGATGAAGGGAGAAAACCAGCAGCTAGGCCAGGAGCCCCTAATAGCGTCCTTGCTCCTAGTAGCGATGCCCTTTGCTCCTAGTAGCTTCTTGCTCCTAGTAGTAAGGCCAGGAGCCCCTAGTAGCGTCCTTGCTCCTAGTCAAGAGTTGTCAATATTCAGCTTTCAGGCCCTCGCTTCAACAAACCGTGAAAAGCGCCTAGATCTGGCACCTGAGTAGGACTACAAAAAAGCGGAATGACAACAATGACTGAAAACTCTACAAGTCTATATGACACGATGAACCATTGGAAACTACTTCTGCAGAAGAGGTGCTGAGTCAAGAATACTTTTCGACACCAATCTGGCGATGAGGCCCGCCCTTCAGCACAGCGAATGTAGCATTCGCGGTTAACCCAGTTCACTCCAAGGTTTTGCCAAGTTGCACCCTGCTATTGACCGTGTCCGGCGAAATCTTTGAAACATCGGCGTCATTTGCCAACAGCAGTTTTACTGCTGCACCTCGGTTTTTTTCGGCTTCTTCGGACAACACAAGCCCTCAGCGCTCGCTCGTTTTATGGCTTGAAAAACAGCAACGTATGGGCTGGCCCTGCGCAGCGGTCGCGCAAATGTCTGCCTTCATATGTGAACTCCAGGCCCGGAGAATGCAGCATGCCATCCCCTCCAGCAGTTCGTACTGCCTTGACAGCTTCCGCCGAAAGCGCAACGAGGCGCCGAAGGATGAATTCGTGTCTCTGATGGCCTGGGCGACTTTCTCCACTTCATTCTCCAGGACCTTGGCAGTGGGAATCGTTTCACCTGTAGTAGCAAAGGTTTTTTTGTATGTCTATGAAGCTTCTCAGTACAGTAACAAGAAAGCTTTCTAGTAACTATCCGAAAGAAAGCCCAAAGAATCCGCCAAGGCCATGCAAAATCGGACTCATCTCCTTGGCTCGCCTGAAGCATCTCCCAAAGAGCAACTGACTCTGGCACCACATAGACCAAGTCAAACACCTTCAAACAAACAAATCCACACAACTAGAATCGAGTCAAAAAATGGGATCAGCCAAGAACATTTGTCAGCTGAGTGTGGCTTGCTTCTGGTGGTTGGGGAGCGCTGGTTTGCATGGTACAAGACGTAAAAATAGAGTTTACATTGTCGATATGGACTAAACTAAAGATTTGCGCTGACCTTGAAGGCCAAAGAGAAGGTTCTTATCCAACGTCAGCTCTCCAAGATTACACAGTCCCTGAAATGATCATGGAAGTGGAAAATCCACTTCCATGTTACACTCCAGGCCGACATGTCCAGGCCTCCCCCCTTCGGAGCGAAGCTTGAGCATTCTGGAAACCAATCTGGTTCACACTGATCGGCAACAGCTGACCAGCTGGTCCTCAAAAACCCACGCAGGAGATGCTGATGTCAATGAAATGACCAATTATGCCATGTAATCTGCATGAAAAAGATTGAAACAATATCCCACTATGACAGGACTACGACGTCGCCTCCTTTGGTCTGACCACAGAATCTGTGAAAAGCTTTTTGACAAAGTTCGATGATGCTGTCCTCGCACTGCTCAAAACATCAGCAACATCAGCTGGAGTGAGTGCAAAATGCTGTGACTCAGGGATGAATGAAGGTTTGGTTCCTGGAGAGCTTCCACGTTGCCATAAAATGCCTCAACTCACGTGGACAGTTGACTGCACGCGACTGGTGCAGAAACTTGCTGCGCCTTCGTCTCAGGGTCACCCGTCAACTCGCCGGCTAGTTTCACCAAAGTCTGCAAGAACACATGAGAAACTGGTAATGCCAAGAAAGAGTCTCCGTCTTCCAAGAAAGCAAGCGGTGGCAGCAACACACGAAACTCCATACATGCCTCATCAAGGTTGCTCATCCTGACATGCGAGCCAATAGCTGTTTGTATGAATGTCATCACAAACATTATGCGGCCTCGATGTCATGCACAGGGTACACCGGCAGCCAGCACAAAATGCTTACTCGTCCGGACCAGTGTTTCAATGCTTGGTTTCATGTGTGCGGCCATCAAAACTCCTTGTATGCACTTCCCAGTTTTGGGCAACTTTATATAGAGAGAGAGAGAGAGAAAAATAGACTTCAGCTTGGAGGGGAGGTTCAGCTTGGAGGGGAGGCACCGCTTTAAGGCCCCATCGCTTCCATCACTTTCTTTGCACATTCTTCAGATTTGTTTCTCTTGTGCTCTTCATACCGTGTCTTGACGGTTGCTCGTGTAGCTGGTCTGTGATGTTAAAGAGTGTCTCAGCTGAGATGTCTGCAGGGCAGGAGGGAAAGGAAGTTGATCAATGCTTTCAGTGCAACGAGTAAACATGAGGATAGAGCCAATGAACTAAAGCGAACTCTCAAGTAACGCTCAGCACGCCTCAAGTTTGGCCATATATACCTGCAAACATAGCATGTGACAATAGCTGTTAACAAGGTGCCTGGATCAAAGCGCACGTCTCTCCCAAACTCTGCAGCCGTTTCAGCACCTGAAAGTTTTTCGGAAGAACTCTGGTCAGCTCTTTCCCAAGTCAACTCGCAAGGTTCTGCTCCATGTACATTAAGAAGGAAATCTGTACGAAAAACACACACGCAAAACACGGGTCGAGTCTTCACGACTTGAATCATGCTTTATGTTTGTCACTAGTAGCTTCTTGTTACTAGTAGTAAGGCCAGGAGCCCCTAGTAGCGTCCTTGCTCCTAGTCGCGATGCCAGGAGCCCCTAGTAGCTTTTTGATACTGTACTTGTTAGGTTTGCGTAAAAATCGAACCAAATCAGTGTGAGCGCTTCAAGGAAGCTCTCCCCCGCCCTCAGGCGGGAGCTTCCTTGAAGAAGCGTGAACTATCCTGCGTCCGGTAGGTAGCAGCGTCTGAGTAGCTAGCAGCTTGTTGACTCCCTTAATTAAGTATATAGGTGCCTACTTAATTAAGGAAGGAGGTAAGGCCAAGGGCCTTAAAGAAAAGCAGCTCAGCAAGCGACTCGGCTCGACCCAAAGCCACTTGCGGGTCGAGAGGCATGCGACAAAACCAAAGCCCCTGCGGTCGTTGTACGACTTCACTGCCCCAAGATAGACCTCCAACAAGGCAGTGTCCCGAGTTTCAGCGAACAAGGCAGTCCAGGTGGGGCGCCCTTTCTTTTTCTATTGTTTTTTCTCGTTTTCGGCAGGAGGTCTGAGGGTCGAAGTAAATGGCCTTGTCGGAGTCCGGTATTCCTGGTACTTCGTCATGGGCTGCTTCTGCAGGCCCTGTCATTGCCTCCCAAACTGCGGAGTGATAACAAATCGCCCGCTTCTTGGTTGCAAGTGGGACGGCTCGCACGTTTGGTCCTTGCGTGGCTTTGGTTGTTGCCTGCAAAAGGCGAGGCACTTGCGACCCGGTCACTGACGGCGACTTTGCGCGATGGGCCGCGGGGCAGCTGGGAGCCCAGGTGGCACAAACGAACCGTTCGATCGATCACACAGTGCGGTCGCTCTCAAGTTCGATCGAGTGAATCACCAGCATGAACTGCAATAAGAAGAAACACCAAGGTGCAGCACGGCGATTTTGCCAAAAAAAATGGATTATGTACACTAAAATGTCACCTGTCGTGCTATCTCACACTGCCAGACACATCATCCAGGGGGATGGAATATCGCACCACTCGCCTGGGTTGCAAAGCACCGGAATTATCATGAATTATCTGCTTTCTTGAGTTCGGAAGACCAAACTGGTAACAATGTTCGCTAGTAGAAACAAGTGCCACGCTAGTAGGTAACAAGTGCCTTACTGGTAGTAACAAGAAGCTAGTAGTACTAAAGACCAACTGTCTTGTTCGATTCTTCCATTCCTTTCTTATCCTACGTCATCTTCGAAGTCGAACGCGTGAATATCGGACCATCACCCATACAATAAGAAGACATAGCCACCAAGAGCTTCTGAAAAATCGCTCGTAACATCTCGTAACCACGCTCCAAACAGCGGAGTCGCTGCCCACAAGTTGAATTTATCCAAATTGCATGAGTAGCCAACCAAGTCTCCAAGAAGGTTCTCAAATTCACTACTACTTACATCTACTTACTACTTCTCACTTGCTCAGGAAAAAAAACAATCATATCAATATCAAGTTCGAAGACCGGAATGACAAAGCACAAACTTTTGGAAACATTATGCCATTATGCCAAATATCTGACATGGTCACACTGCTGAACATTATCATTATCTTGGAGACTAAGCAGTTGCAAACAAGTTGATTTATGGTCCAAATGTGTCCAATATTGTCCAACTTGCGAAGAACTCATGTATGTCACTTGCGAAAAGGCAGGCTCTGAGGTGATCATGAGATCATTCACATGACATCAAATTCTACCCACGCGAAGCTACTTGCACCTACGCGTTTGCACAAAACGATGAAGGTCTTGCTGGTGCACTCTTCGTTGGTCATCCCATTTTGGGTTGCCTTAATGCTGCGACTTCAAAGTCGAGAACAATCAAATTGATGCCTTCATTTAAGGATCAAGAACCTGACCAAAACGACACTTGACAGTCTTGAATCGTATGTAACTATGAAAACGAGGTTTCGACGTTACGGAACGCCTTTTTCCCTTGAGCCAAAATACGTCAAGAGTCACGTGTCTGCAGTACCTATAGCGGAGTATATATGGGCTGTACATACTAACACTCCTCCTCTTGCAAAGCACTGTACTGCTGCGCAAGCATAAAAGTAAACATGTGAAACTCTCGCTGCTTAGCCACTTTCAGTTGTGGTAGTGGAGCTTGGCCAGGGACCTTACTCCAAAACATCTAACTGTCCTTTGCTTCGCTTGCTGAGGAATGCATATTGCAGGTCCTCCATGGTTTTGCGAAGCTGCACCCCAGGAACCGATTTGGTCAAAACATCGGCTTTGTTCTTGAGACCTGGAACGTGGTGCACTTTCAAGTGGCCTTCGGCGACCCTTTCTTGCAACCATAGGTAGCGAGTTTGGATGTGTCTGGCTTTACCCAAACCCACTCTATTCACAGTTCCTTTGGCTGCATTGGAATCGCCCTCGATGGTGACTCCCAAATCCAAACCAAGGTCTGCGCATAGGCTTTGAAGGCCTAAGCCCGCAGATCCTCCTTTCACAAGTGCGTAGTATTCACTCTCACCTGTAGAAAGGGCTACAGTGGATTGGATGTTACTACTGTGTTTCAACACGTGCATGCCGTACATAGCAACCATGCCAGTCGTGCTTTTGCGCGTCACAGCGTCACCACCATGGTCAGCATCGACCTGCACCCTCAGCCTTGAGGGTATCTGCTGCGAACCAAAACATTGCCCAACATCAGGGTATTTCTTCAAGTACCTGATGAGACGCTTCAAGTCAGCAAGTTTGGCTTCCGTTGGTGATACCATACCTCGAGCAAGGTTCTTGACTGCGTGCCCAATATCAAGTCGATCTTGGGACAAGTACGCAGCACGCATCGTTGCTGAACGATACTTCGATGCCTCGCTCTTATCAAGCAGCGGACTGCGGCTTTCCAGCATCTGCTGATCTGCCGACTTCTTGACATCTGGTGATTCTACACCATTTGCCTTTTCCAGACCAAATGCCTGGATCAAAAGATCAACATGTCTCCGATCGGCTTCGATCACAATCGACCCTTTGCCGTTCTTCTTTTCGACTCGGACTAACCGATTCAGAAAATGAGCTTCTGTTCGGTCTCCATCCTCGTCTCCAAGAATTCCGAGACATTTCAGCTCATAGGCATCTTTGAGGACTTGGCTGAGCTTCTCCAAGTGTTGGGCGTCTCCAAGTGCTAGGAAGTCATCTCCATGCACCATCACTCTGACGTCCCAAGCTTCTTGGTAGAAGACTGATGCATTTGACAAGCCTCTGCGGAAACCAGCGTTCTGCAGAGTCTCTGTGTAGTGCGTCTGCCAGATATTTGGAGCATCCTGTGTTCCATACATCGACTTCACGAGAAGTCCACAGGTTTGTCCATCTTTGCTGGCTTCGTCCTCAGGCGGCAGCTCTATGTAGATCTTTCTCTTTGGAGTTCCACAAAAGTGTGCTCGTGAGATGTCCCACAAGCCCAGCTTCAGCGGCTGGTTGTGGCAGGACTTTCTCTTTGTTGCCCACAACGAGCACAGCAGTCTCATCGCCTCCAATGGTGGCGTGCTGCTGAAAAGCAAGTTGGCTGGCAATTGTTCTTCTTTGGTCTTTCTTGCCTTTATCTCACGCACAACTAATCGGCTCCTATAGTTCGGGTTTGTTGGATCTCCCTTGTTGGTGTCCAACCATCTGACTGGAATCGGGGGTTTCCCCGTTTCCTCAAAACATTCGGCTCTCGGCCGGGTCACATAAACACCATGCTTTTCTTTCAAATAATTCATTTCAAGGCGTCTTGCCTCTTTCACTTTCTCGGCTGGCAAAATGCCGCCGTTCACATCATCCATGTAAATCTCTTCGAACTCAGGTTCCATCAGAGGCATCTCTGGAACTGGGCCTGCTGCAAACAAATCAAAGGTGTTCAACTCACCTTTCTCAGCTAGTGTGTCACGCAGGCTCCTCAGCACTGCCTTCACGAGCGGCGGTGGGTATACCGCTGCTTGCCTTGCAATGCCTCCGATCAGATGGATGTGTCGGTGCCATGGTCCTTTGCCCGACTCATTCGAGCAGACTCCTTGCAAGACTCTGGCTAACCCTTCGTCGTTGGTCATCCAACCGGTCTCCTTTCTCACATAGCCAGTGCCTTGGAGTCCTCTTCGGTCGGTGGCCATCATTTGCCACCTACACATTGGACCCTTCACTATGAACACTCCATCTTCCTCTGCTAAGGCCGCGACTTTCTCATCCTTCCAACTGGTCGCGGACCAAGGTGCCTCGTGGAGGAATTTTCTCCCTCAGCGATGCTGCTTGACATACAGCTCTACGCTCGTATGAAGATGGTGGACGGCTTCGTCCATCTTTCTCCTCCGGACATC